GACCTCACTTGAGGTCGGATTCCGAAACCAATTGTATATCCGGGCTCGGGGGTGAATGGGTAATCGGATTTTGGTCCGAACATCGGGTTTTGACCAAGCGGGCCCAGGTCGATTTTTGACTTTTTGGGGAAAATGTTGGGAAATTATAATTGTGTATTGGAATTGGTTTCTTTAGCGTTTATTGATGTTATTAAGTTAATTATGGCTAGATACGAGTGAATTGGTGGTGGAATCAAGAGGTAAAGCGGTGGTTGAGCTTTGAAATACCCGTTGGCTTGAGGTAAGTATTTGGTCTAACCTTGACTTGAGGGATTAGGGATCCCCGACTTGCTTGCTATGTGAGATGTCATGTATGTGGCGTATAGGTGTGGTAACGAGTACCTATGCGTCGCCAAATTACTTGTTTAGCCTGTTTCCTTTCCCCGTTTCCCTATATCTTGCTTTCCTGCCTTCATTGCTACTTGCTCATAAATGTTTCCATGTCTAATTGCTTCATATTAACTGTTGTTCTCTTTATTGAATTATTTAATTGTTTCATGTTAACTGTTGATGTTTCCGTTGAAGTATTATTTGTTTCGTAGCTTCATTTTATTACCATGTTGGCTTATATTGATTTAGTTGTGCCTTATGGTGCACCTTGGTTGGTCTCGCTGAGTAGTTTTCACAGGTGAAGTTTCATAATCATAGTGATATTCCATTGTGTGGATTGAGGTATAAGTAATGTGGGGGATTTGAGTTAGCTTGTGAAACACTTGTCTTTATTCTTTTGTGATTGGTGTATATATATATATATATATATATATATATATATATATGTATATATATATATATATATATATATATATATATATATTGGGATCGGGTTGCACGCCGCAACAGGAGGAATAAGGGTGAAATGTGATTGTCTGGTGGGATCGGGTTGCACGCTGCAACAAGGAGTAATAAGGGTGACAGGTGGGATCGGGTTGCGCACTGCAACAGGAGGATTAAAGATGATATGTGTTGAGGAGTAATAAGGGTGGACAGGTGGGATCAGGTTGCACGCCGCAACAAGGAGGAATAAGGGTGAATTTATATTGTTGTTGTTTATATGATGGGATCGGGATGCGCGCCGCATCAGTTGTTCTTATATATTCATATCTGTTGAGGTCCATTACTTTGATGTTGAAACACCCTTAAGGATTGGTTATAGCAGAATACTAGTAGAACAACTGGGTTCCGAATTTATTTAATGCCAGTTATTGCTTTATTACATTCTGTATTTCCTTTCTGTTTGGTATAAACTGTTACAGGTTGTATATGTTGTATGCCCCACCGTAGCCTCGTCACTACTTCGTCGAGTTAGGCTCAGTTGTACTGATACTGCACTCTGCACTTTCTGTGCAGATTTTGGAGCTAGTGGCTGATCGTGAGGTTGGTTGCTATCGCTGCTTCCCGGAGACCCAAGGTAGTTCTGCAGGCGTCCGCAGGCCCTGGCGTCCCCTTCTATCCTATTTCATTTCTGTTTTATCTACTTCCGAGATAGATGTAAACTTTTCGTTCAGACCATTATTTGTAGTATTCGTAGACTGTTCGTGAGTTGTGAAACCAATTCTGGATGGAATTTACTACGGTTTTCGCTATTAGTATAAAGATAATCTTTTAAATTGTGTTCTTCCTCATTTATTTCCGTTGATTTATTTTTGTTAAGTTTTAATTATTAAAAGATGAACGAAAAAGGTGAGATATTTTGTAACGTTGGCTTGCCTAGCGAGTACAATGTTAGGCGTCATCACGGTCCCGACAGTGAGAAATTCGGGTCGTGACACCTACTCATCATTTTGTGCCTAATTTATTCAAGCTTAGTTATGACATATTTATGCCTAAGACCTAATATCCAGGAATTAATTGTTTCACATATGTTATTTTCTATAATATCACATCTAACCTTCTCATTGAAATATGCCCTACACCAGTATTCTTTATCATGGGACAATAAACGTTCACAAATACCATTTTCTAATTCATCCAATTTCTTCATTTCTTCTCTTAACTTTACCTGAAAATGAGCTTTAGCACATCTCCAAAACTGTTTTCTTCATGATTTCTGCCAGTTTGCCCAAATGTGTCTTGTACACATTCTTCTTTCAGCAACAAGTAGCAAATCAGCATTAGCAGATAACAGTCCCTAATAACAACAGCAACAACAGGTAGCAACAGTGAGATAGAGTAGCAACAAGGAGCATTAATAATGTTAACTTAACAAAGCAAAAAAACAACTTAATAAATGGATTGCAGTACCTTTTGCATGTCAGACATGATTGTTAAATCTTCACTATTCCTTAATTCCAAGTCTGTTTTGAGATAGTTGATGAACCAACTCCATGAATGTGTAGTCTCCTGATCTACCAAAACCCAAGCAATAGGATACATCTGATTAGTTCCATTTTTTCCAACAACCACTAATAATTCACCTTTGCAAGCCCCTCTAGGAAACAACCATCAAAACCTATGATTCTTCTACAACCTGCCATCCATCCCTTTTTCATAGCATCAAAGCATACATAAAAATATTTAAACAAATGCTTCTCAGGAACTGTTTCTATATGAGTTCTCACCCAACATGAACTTCCAGATTTGGTGGATTTAATTATGTCAGCATAGTCCAGCAACCTTGAAAATTCAAGGTTCCAGTCACCCATGAACTGGCTAATTACCTTCATCTTGGCTCTATAGATTAGTGATCTTCCAACATACAAACCCCATTTTACTCTTATAACCTCTTGCAACTCATGTACTGTGATGTTTTGAGTTGAGATGATTCTATCTTGGAGCTTTCTTGCAATGTACTTGGTTGTGCAAAGTTTGTTCTTGTTCTTTGTTGGGCATTTGTGGACGGGTATGTATGTCTTCACGGTAAAGTTTCCTGAATCCTTATCCTTACTAGCAAATATGTGCCACTTACACTTTTCATGCTTACACTTAACTCTTACTCTATCTTTCTCATTAGGTCTAATCTTTAAAGAAACTTTATATTAAATAGCATAGTCAGCAATAGCTTTCATAAAATCTTCTGCATTATCAAAGATCATGCCCAACTTAAATAGAGGAATTTTAGCATCAAAGTCATACCTGATCCTTTGACTTCTTCTTCTAGAAGGAAGATCAACACCAGGTTCAGCAAGTGGGTCTAACTCTTCATCACTGTCTACACTCCCAACATCTAAGCTGTCCAAATACTTTTCATCCCCACCTAGCTTTCCAACTTATTTATCCTTCTCATTTATCCCTATGCCTTCAAACCCCTTATCAATTCCAGCCTCACCAAGAATTACCTCTTCTGTAAAAACAGGTTTTCTCCTCTGTTTTCTCTTACTTCTTAATCTAGCATCATTCACATTCTTCTTCAGCATGTTTCTCTTTACTTCCCTAGCAGCATTCCTCACAGATCTTAACTCATCATCTATCTCACCGTCATCTTCTTGTAGAATATGTTCAAGGTCATCTTCACCATAATTTTCATCTTCAGACAGATTTGTATCTATTTCATTACTGTTGTCATGCGTTGCAGCTGCACCCTCTTCAATATTTATATCCTCATCTGAAAATGTAGCCCTATTTTGTTCCGCATTTACACCACTACCCTCAGCAGTATTTACTTCTATATCCTCAATACTCTCATCAACATTTACTCCAATACCCTCATCATCAGTTACATTAATGCCCTCATCAACAGTTACACCAATGCCCTCATCAACAGTTACATTAATGCGCTCATCAACATTTACACCAATGCCCTCACCAACATGTAAACTAACTCCTGGACCACCCCTAATTTTTGGATTAATTGTAGCTTGGTCACTATCACCAACCTATGAGCAAGGTAAATATCCCACAGGGTCATCCTCCACAATCTCTAAATTATCTATCACATGACTCACATTGACATCAAAAGTATACCCATCCTTCAGGTATTTTATCAAATTTAGTAGTTGATATTATTTTCAATTGAAAAGAATTTCTGAGTTTTAGGGCATTGAAGAAAGAACCCACCAACTGAGTTGTATCGCATTTCAGGGGTTTCTTTTGTGTACAAAAGCCCGGTCAAAGAAAAATGATCTTTGTCCACCACATGCCCTATAATTTCACCCTACCCCACATACTTTCCATCACTAAAGTGACCCCCATGGTGAAAGACAACAACAATATATTCGTCCATGTGACTCAGTACTGAAAAAGACAAAAGAAAACCAGTCAAAATATTCCCTGACCTTTTCAATTTTCTAGAAGAAAAAAAAACCTAAGCTAATAGCATCATAACATACGCATAGCAATAAAATACAAAAATACATAATCTAAGCATAAAAATAACATAACTTTATGCAATAATCGAAGCAACTTTACGGCTGACGCCCCTTTTCACAAAAACTCCACTTTCAAAACTCTAGGACGACCTTCAGGTGATAAATCATGAGCCAACAATCAATTTGAACAAACCCTACTTAGTATGTGAAAGAAATGTTGAATTTTGCAACGGAAATGCCGATTAAACCAAGCTTAATCGAAGAGATGAAGATGGGTGGCATTCGGTAAAAGAGAGAGTTCAGGTGTTAGACGGAATGTTCGAGAAAAATTTAACCTTTATGTTTTAAGTTTTTAATTAGACACCTTTTAATGGTTTATTTTTTATTGTTTATTCACGTGTCGGCTTATTATAATATACACTGGAGGTGTATTACACGCGACGGGGCTGACTAGGTCGGGTGTTTATTGAGTTCACTTTTTAGTCACGTGAAATGTTTAAATGAAAAATCTCAACCGAAGCGTTCAAATGATCGTTAGGGACAACTTAAAGGGGCGCTTTATGTATTCGCCAAAATATTTTGAAAGAATTTAAGCTTTGTAGACGTAAGAAAAAGTACATGTTCAATAATATAATTTGATCGCTCTAATAGCTACACACATTTGTTTATATGCTACCAAATCACAATGATAAGTATAACAGTGATATATAGTTAGCATTTAAATGATAGAATTGTGTAAAAATAGTGGATAAAGTTTAAACTCATGTTGAAAATACATCCAAAAAAAGAAACATAGAACACCATCTTCGTACAAACTGCGTCAAACACAAATCCTACCCTAAATATCATCTTCATTATTTCCTTATTTTCTAGAGCATAAATCATAGTCGTGTCGAATATCCGCATACCCTAAGTGGAAAAAAGAACAAATATAACAGCTTCAAGGTCATTTCAATGATGACGAACTTTATCACTTAAGGACTTTATATCATTCACGAGACGTTCAAAATTACAATAAGACGATCCACCTTCTTTCAAGCATTCCTTAGCAAATTTTGACATTTGATTTGCTCTTTCCAAGAACTCATCTTTCCTAACCACCATCAAATCCTTCACCATTTTCTCAACTATTTCTCTATCACATGTATCTTTCATGTCCAACCCAAGTTTCCAAGCTGCTTCCACAAACCTACTATTCACTTGTTGGTCCATAAAATAAGGCCAACAAATCATTGGCTTACCTTCATATACACTTTCAAGAATCGAATTCCATCCACAATGAGTCCAAAACCCGCCTACAGAAGGATGTGCCAATACTTCTTCTTGTGGAGCCCACCCCACAATATAACCTCTTTCTTTCGTACCCTCGGCTAATTCCACGGGAATCTTGTTTTTCCAATCATCTCCGGCAACAGAATCCAACCGAATAACCCACAAAAATCTTTGCTTACTATTCACCAAACCATACCAAAACTCCATGAGTTGTTCTTTTGTCATAGTTGCTATACTTCCAAAACTCACGTATATAACAGAGTTCGGTAGCTGATTGTTTAGCCAATTAATGCAACTTTTGTCTTCTTCAAATAAACTATTTGAAGATGGTGGCAATGAATTGTTTTCTTCACTTAGCTTATTCTTTAAATGTGCATGGAGTGGTCCAATAGAGTATATGTTTGGACATACATTTCGCATTTGAGAGAGAAGATGTCCATCTAGCTCTTCAAATGTGTTGAGTATAAGACCATAAGCACGTGAATTTTCTTGACCCTCTGTTTTGTAGAGTTGGACATTTGAGTCTGTCAAATCGCCGGTACGGCAAAAGTCCGGTAGGTCACGTCGCCGGAGAAAAGTTTCAGCTCCGGGCACACTCTTGATTGGCTCATCCAAGTCATCACCTGCAAATGATCAGAGTAGTTGAATATAGTTTAAGATTATGTGCTTAAAATAGGCATAGATAGATTCAAACATAGAATCTAGAGTCGGTGAATTCAAAATGAGAGTGGATAAAAATAAAAAATAAAAGGTCAGTCCGGTGCACAAAGTATCCCGTCATGTAGAGTTTCGAGAAGGGTCGCACCCAAGAGGGTATAATGTAGATAGCCTACCCTAATTCAAGCATCAACGGTTAATTCCACAGTTTGAACCCCTGATCTATAGGTCATACATGACCTATAGGTCACACATAGACAACTTTACCATTGATAAAGTATTCGTATTAAATAATTTTGATGCAGTGGCGGAGTTAGGATTTTTAATAAGGAGATTCAACATCTATTGTATAGAGATAAAAAATTAATCTTATGCATATATGATGTAATTTTTTGGCGAGAGATTTCCACCCGACTAGCTCCGCCCCTGCTTTTATGTATATATAATATGTAACTCGAGTACAAAGCAAAGAATTCAAGAATCCATCCTATATTGACTCATAGAAGAAATAATTGTCAATGGAAAACATTGTGGTTTTAAATATGTAATTTTTAACCTTCCCTTTTATTTTTTACACTATTTTTAGGATTAAAGTATTTCTTCAAGTTTTACCTTTATATTTGAGCTTTTAATTAGTTATTTTACTCAGAGACATGTAGCTAAATGAATTAGTATTTTCAATACGAAATACAAATATATAGATGAAAAAATCACGCATATCTAAATCTAACATCTCAAGAAATAAATAAACTCAATATTAAAAATTTAACACAATGAATTTCTCAAGTTTAAATCATGAATACGCTTGTGATAATAGTTATACGAAAGATTTACTAACCTTTGAAAGGATATTCACCAGATTCAATGAGTTGAGGAAGGCAAAAGAAGATCCAAAGACAACATGGACTAATAGTACGAATACTAAAAATTGGAATTCCAATTTCATTAGCAACATCACAAGTAAATCCCAAAACTCCATCAGCAATAATACAACTAACTTCTCTTCTTTTCCCATCAGAACTAAGCCAACCAGAAGTCAACATATCTTTAAACAATGGCTTTGTTTTAGATTTCAAAGAATCAAATAACTCCATATATTTACTACCTTTACGTGGATGATCTTGAGGTAAACCATCTGAAATTGTCTTGATTTGAAAACCAGGAAAACGTTCAAATCTTGAACTAATATTTGTATGAGAAATAAGGCGATTATGGATATTTTCAGTTAAAAGAAAAGTAATATCTAGGCCAGAAAAACAAAGAAGTTCAGCTAGTTTGAACGTGGAATTTACAGGACCTTGTAATGGTAAAGGGAAGATTAGAACATGAGGAGGAAGTGATTCTTGATTCATTTTTTGGTTGAAAAATGGTAAAATTGTGGTTTGGTTTGTTGAATATTTGGATCTTAAATTGATGGTTTTCTTTTGACTGTTTAGAGTTATGAGAGGGAATGATATGTTTGTCAAGTTGGTAGAAATTAGCATCATTTTATCTTCTACTTTGTGAATATAATAATTTGACTCATGACTAGTGGCATTTGTCTAGTCTTCAATCACGTGAAAATAAATCTTGAAGATCAGGTTCAAATATTAAATATTTTTTTATGGCAAAGTTTTATAATACATATGTTGATGAAAGATAAAGAGGTCAATAAAATAGTTGAGAAGGGATCGAACCAAACAATAAATTAAAGGTAGTTCAATGCACAAAGTATTCTGTATTTACATGTAGTGGCTAAGCCAGAAATTTTTTCAAGGTGTTCAAACTTAAAAAAAAGTGAAAAATAGACTCCGTAAAAGAGTATTCAATATATGTTATATACCTTTAAAACTTAATATTTAACCTATAAACACAATGTAATTTTCTCGTAAGGGTGGTCAACAAACCACCCTTAGAATTGTGTAGCTTCACCCCTGTTCACGTGGGGTTCGAGTAAGGGTCACGCCCAAAGGGTGTGATGTAGACAGCTTACCTCAATACATACATTAGTGACTGCTTTCACGGCTCGAACCCGTGGTGTATAGATTATACGGAGACTTATGCGGCGACAAATTTACTGTTGCTCCAAAGTTTTCTTTTGAGCCGCGACCGGCCCATAATGAAAAAACAAAAATAATAATATTAATTTTATGTTACTAGTCTGTACAGAGATTGATGGTTAATGCTTTTCTTTTTCATTGGGAGAGGAGTATGTGACATTTCTATTAATCAGCTGTCCCTTTAGTTTAATAAAAAATTATTAAAGAATAAAAAAAACTTGATTCCTTTATTGTTTGTCTTGTCTATATGCAGATGAATATGCTTGATCCTCTTTATAGATATCAATGGTTCTGGACCACAATTAGAATATCATTTAAAGAGTGGTGCTAGAAATCTTGCATCTAGCTCCTCTCAATCTCCTATTCTTTTTAGTTCTTCAATTTCCTTCTTTGAATGCGTAACACGTTTTTCATTTTCCTAAATTAGTGTGTCTTAACCAGGGGGGGATTTAGGGGGCGGATTTAGTTTACCGAACCCCCTTCGCCGAAATTATATATAAGGGAAAATCTATTTTTACCTCTATATATTATGTTTTGAATCTTGACATAACCTAAAAGCATAGCGTAGTGGTCAAGGTGGTTTAATTCCTTTGTAAGGTCATTGTTTCAATTGTCACTAGCTATAATTTTTTTTAACTTTTTTTTGAACCCCCTTAACAGAAATTTTGCCTCTGCCACTGATCTTAACCATGATTAATACAACGGATATGGACATATTTAATTCTTTCGACTTTGGTAAGAAAATATCAGGCGCATTAAAACAATTAGGCAATTCCTCCATATGATATGATATTAATGTCTTCATTTCATAAATTATTGGTTGCTCATAAGTTTATGGACCAAGCAAAATCGTATGTGGTAAAAATATTTAGTGGGTGTTATTAGAATAGATTGGCTACATCTTAAGGAGCTTGAATCTCAGTTTTGGGATGATTTGGTGAAGTTTTGAGGTGGTTTGAATTGAAAATTCGAAGTAAAAACTGAACATGAAAAAAAATGATATGTGTATCACACTGTGTATCATTTATGTATCATATTTGTATCAATTGTGTATCACATGTATATCCATGTATACATGTGTGTGAGATACGTGCGTACCCTTTTTTTTGTTAAAAGCGTTTTTTGTTAAAAGCGTTTTAAAAAGACGATTTTGCCCTTCAGGACTATTGACAAAACTGTAGACTGCATGACAAAACTTCAGCATGTTTTGGTATGAAGTTTTAGCAAATGAACTAAATAACTTAAGCATGTTTAGTCTGAAGTTTTAGCAAATGAACTAAATAACTTAAGCATGTTTAGTCTGAAGTTTTCGCAAATGAACAAAATAACTTCAGCATATTTAAACTAAGTTTTAGCAAATGAACTAAATAACTTCAGCATGTTTAGACTGAAAGATTCGAATAAAACTCATGACAAAACTGTAGACTGCAAGATAAATAACTTCAGCATGCATTAGCACGAAGTTTTAGCTTCAATGTAAAACAACTTCAGCTGCTACTGTAATTGGCTGAAGTTTTACACCATCTCGCATGCTAATGAACAACCCCTGATACTGTAAAACAACGTCATCTCCAAATGTTAGCATGCTGCTACGTTTATCAGGGATTGTTTTACAGTATGCTAATGCGAATGAGGTCATCTCCAAAGTAGCATGCTAATGCTAATGCTTCAATGTAAAACAACTTCAGCATGCATTTCATGAATGAGGTTGCAGATCACTCGATTTATCAGGGGCGTAATTATCATATTATGATAATTTTTTTGTCAACTAGCTACCAAATTAATAATTTTTAAAAATAGGGTACAGGTTAAAAGGTGGCACAAATATAGGGTACGGCTGCAAATCCCCTCTTTAATTTCGATCATTCCCTTTCAAATAGAAAGTGTTAATCCTTTAATAAATGGGTCAAGTATAGAGAAATTTCAATGGGCTCAACTTAAAGCTGGAGCGTAAAAATTTGGGAATTTTACATAAATAAGTACTAACTTACTAACCTCTACCCATTAATCATATACTTACCAAAACAAACTAAGCACATATAAAAATTAAAAACTCAAATAAACAAGGTTCTTTCTCTTCAAGAATCACACGCAAAGATCTGCTTCCATATTTTTAAGCGTGATCAACAACATTAGATGCAAGACGAAAAGGAAATTCATGGATGAGGTAGCAAACAAGGTGATAAACTATTAAAAAATATATATATTCAAGATTCCAAAACCTAAGCAAAAAAGGATATTTTTCAATTGGTATAGTTTAAATTCATTGAAAACATATGGATGAGTCAATTTACAAAATTTGAGGAAGATTGGAGGTGATTTGGACTGAATTGGTATATATCAACATTCTTTGGTAAAATCGAGTTCAAAAAATACTTCTGCGACACTATCAAACACGTATCACGTAGGTATCACACACACAGTTATACATAGATATATATGTGATACACATTTGATACAAATATGATACATATGTGATACACAAATGATACACATTATTTTTACCAAGTTCATCTTCTACTTCGAATTTTCAATTCAAATCACCTCAAAACTTCACCAAATCATCCCAAAATTGAGATTCAAAATCCTTAAGATGTACCCAATCTATTCTAATAACAATCACTTAAAAGAAAGCAAAAAATTTAACCTTGTTTGGCTACAAATAGTAAATTAGCTAATATTTGTAACATTTGGATAATATTAGTAATATTTTTTGAATTGACCAATTTTTGTAATAAGCTACTTATAAATGGACATAGCTGGAAGTTTTCCTAAAATATTCATATGCTGCTCAGTTTTGCACCACACATTGAATTTGTACCCACTTATTAAAAAAAAAGTTTAGCTGATACCCGATTTGTTGATAACTTCAGATACACACACTTTACTCTTCTTCTTTACTGTTGTTTTCTTCTTCTTCTTAGTTGTATATTTAAATTTGTTGTTGTTTTGACATTGATGATTGAAATTTGTTCTTTATGATACTTGAAAGTTATGTTTCAAATTTGAGCTCATTTTGGAGTAGATTTGAGCATTGCATAGTGTATTAGATTGTTGAAATTCGAAGAACAAATTTATATTTCAGAACTTAATATTGGAAATCTAAAGTTTGTAAGGCCACGTAAAAATTTTCCTAAAAATTCGGATTCCGTGATGCCGAAGTAGGCATCGAGGTTAATAATAGTAGAAAGCTCGTCGCGGTTCGGACTTTTTGGATTGAACAGCACGCTGGAGAGTTGAAGGAAATATTTTTGGAGAAGTAGGCATTTCTGCGGCCCATTATGCGGCCGCATAATCACTCCGCGGGCCGCAGAATGGCCGCAGAGTGAAGCGGTCTTTTTGGCCAATTTTGAGGTCAGTTTTGCGGCCAATTATACGACCGCATAACTATTTCGCAGGCTGCACTTTCCTTGGACTTTTGCGGAGGGAAGTTCTGCGGCGCATTATGTGACCGCAGAACAGGTCTGCGGGCCGCATAACGGCCGCAAAGTGAAGCATACCAGCCTAGTTTGCAGGGCCATTTTTTGCGATCTTTTTGCGGACCGCATAACTATTATGCGGTCGCATATGCAATCGCAGAACCTGTTCCGGAGCTTCATTTTTGGGGTTTTAAAACCCGACCCCACTTCGTTAAAATAGGTGTAAGGGGCCATTTTGAGCTAATTTTCTGATATCTTTAGAGAGAGAAAGAGAGTATTAGAGGGATAAAGTGATCCCCATCAAATTTGCTCTTCAATTCTTGCTCTACACCTTGAAGGTTATCAAGAGAGACACCTAGGTATTCTTCCTATGAGGTAAGATTATATCACCAAACTCTTAATTTCGAAATGTAACTAGAATGGGCCATTAATAAGGTAATTCATAGGAATGAGAGTGATTACCTTGCATGCATGTGTTCCTAAGGTATGTGGGGAGGTTGTGGTTAAAGATAGAAAAGAACGGGGTATGGGTTGGTGGAGTCTTTTATAAAAAGGGTCCATGAAACCTTAATACACACAAAGTGTTTGATAGAATGCTCAAGTGAGCTAGAATTATGATCGTTTTCCTAATTTTGGGTTCAATTTTGCTATATTGCTAAAATAGATTGAAGTTGGTAATATTTCGGAACATCCTAGAGTTTTAAGAGGCTCAATTGAGGTATGTATGGCTAAAACCCCTTCTTCTTACAATCAAATACCCCGGTGTTCGTGTAGCTAGTGTAAGTCCCCAATTTGATCATATTAGAATTGATTATTCCTAATGTGCCGTGTTGAATGATATATGTTCAATATTTATTCTAAATGCTTACCATGTCATCTTGTCATTTGAGGATGTATTAAAAATGTGGAATGTGTCTTAAGAAAGGTTCAGACTTCATATCAAAAATTGAATAAATGGTTGTTATGCCAAATTGTATGAAAAGCCTCTATGTGCTTAGGATTCTCCAAGTTAACCCATACGGGTACTAACGT